CGAAGGCGAAGATTTGGAGCTATTTCTTGCGATGAAGGAGTCCGTTCGAGTCCGACGTAGGAATAGGGGATAATTTTTTAGTTAAACTTGGTAATTTTTGTGTTTTTATTTCTAATGTTATTTTTATTTTTTTATTTTTTATTAATGTAATTTTTATTTCTAATGTAATTTTTATTTTTTTTATTTTAATTAATGTAATTTTTATTTCTAATGTAATTTTTATTTTTTTATTTTAATTAATGAAATTTGGTATTTTAAATTAATGAAAACTAGTATTTAAAAAAAAATTATATGATTTTTTATGTATTTTTGAATTAAATTTAAATAAAAAAAAAGGTGAAGCGGTGTGTTTCGTGGTAGATATCACATGGTTAGTGGTAGGGAGTGTGGTGATGATGTGACACCCACCACTATAATGGTTAGTGGTGGGTATAACGGATGACCTAATTCAAGTTGTTTAGATTGATTTTCTATCATATTACGTAAAGCTCGATATAACTACAAATATATCATTGAGACCGTTTTATTTTTATCTACATAAAGACATAAAATTTTCTCATTCTACATGTATAAGACTTGACATATTTTTAGTCACAAAATTTGGTTTTGATACATCAGTATAAAGTATGTTTTTGTATTTACTGCTATAAGGCTCGACGATGTGCTGAGGGAAAAAAAGAGTGAGGGAAAGTTTCCCCCACCCTCGAATACCATACCGTGGGTGAGGGGAGTTTATCCCCCACTCTCTCTCGTTATGTGATTGGTCATTATTTTTTTTTCAGCTTTTTTAATATTTATTAAATTATATATCTATTAGAAATATATATTAAAATTAATAGTTTTTAATTCCCTACAAAATAAGTATAATATTTGTATGAAATATATATATATATATATATATATATATATTAAAAAAAGTGAAAGAATCTTCACATACACACCTGAGTTCCGGTAAAAGAAAGAAAAATAAGAGAAATCCTGATGTGACAGACAAAAAGTGAGGAATCCTTCCCCCACACACCCTTAGGTCCAAAGTGTGTTTTCATTACATCATGTTGTTGAAATATAAATTTCTATATATGTTCGAATCTGTAAGAATTTAATAAAGTGTGTCAATTTCCATTGACCTAATACCACAAATATCATCATGTTATGAATCTAATTACACCGTTGTAAATGTCATAAATAACCGAGTGCAATGATAACTTCTTTGTAATTTATCTCATAAAATATCACAAAAATACAAGATTCAACTAATTTCTTATTTACCAATATAATATATTAAAAGACTTTACATAAACTTATAACATAATCTTAGACTCACAATTCTACCTCTAATTTATTTTTTTTATCAAATTTCATAACATCAAGCAAAAAACTATGTAATAATTTTCAAAATTTTCATTACACCAAACTACCAAACTGGAATAAGGCTCCTAGTTTACATTAAAACCAAATGATGACTAAGAAATAATTGTTCAACTCATATACAACTTCTCAAAATAGGAGTTAAACATTAAATACGATTGTATTGTATATTAAGGTTGTGTTTAGCATCCCATAATTAGTTTATATTTTGAGTTTTTTAAATTGTCATGTTTGGCAAACCAATAAATAGTTGTTAAGCTAGCTTTCATAGAAGTTACCTTGAGTAGCTTTTGTAGGAGTTTTTTGAAAAATTCTCGAATATACCTTAAATAATTATAAAAACATATTATTCCAATTGTCTTATTATGTCATTTTATATCTTTTGGTTAACTTATCAGTTAGTTTTTACCAAACTTCATTTTTTTATCGGCTAGTTTATAAACTAGCACCTACCTTTTCAGCTAGTTTGTCAAAAATAGCATAACTAGATATAGTGTGTTGCACGTAATATTTAAAAAAAACGGTTTGAACAGGCCGGTCGAACTGGTTGGATCGGGAACCAGAGGAAGGAGCGGTTCAACTATCACCGATTTTACGTTGATTTCTGAACCGGATTGAACCAGCCGGTTTTTAGAAAAACCAGGTTGTATCAATCAAAATAAACCGGTTAAACCGAATAAAAACACATGAAAAAGAATCATTTACTTAATAAACTTTGGTGATTTTTTTCGAATCTATTTAGTTTTCTCTAAATAAAAACATATAGTAAATGTTATAAAGTTTTTTGATGTGTTTGTATTAATCTAAAACTATATTTTGTTTCGGTAATATACATTATTTTCTTTTTGACGTATATGGATTGATGTAAAACACTAAAACTTATGATTATGTGTTATTTTAATGTATTTGGATTCATCTACAACTTATTTTTACGTGTATTTTTAATGTTCGAACTTGTAAACATCAAATTCATGATTTATATATGTATGTATGTGTACGAAAATAGGAAAAAACATGAAAAATATAGAAGCCGGTTGATCCGGCGGTCGAACAGGTTAAACCGAAAACCGGTCACCATATATGTTCAAATAAAAAACTGGTTTTTAAAACATTGGTTGCACGACGTTAGGAATATTTATATTTGGTATGATTAGGTTTAGTTCTATACAAG